GGGCAACCAAAAATGGATTTTAATCATCAGCACAGTGTTGTCTCAGAGCTGTCCTCTGTTGTTTACCATAATGTCTGATGATTTGTCGTCAGCCAATCAGCGCGGGAGACCAAGGCAGCGTCCCAAGTGCTCCAGACAATATGGGTCTACAAGGACCTGAGAAACACTTTAAACAAGGCCGGTTGGAACAAGAGCCACTTTAAGGTATTTGTTCCTATTACCTGGTCATTTAAAACTCAGCATGCACAATGGACAACATAAACTTTAAAGGGTAAACCATCATGGATGTGGCATGCCAATACAAACTACTTTATACCTGGTAATATGTGTTGAGAAATAAAATTGCTTGTTGCAGTGAAAGAAAAGCTTTGACTGAGACGAGTTGGATGAAAAGGAATCAGTAACCTTAAGCGTATAGTTTTCCAAATGTTATGTCATTTTATATCAAGAACAAAAAGAAATCGTATATTGAACAATGTTTTGGCCCTGATTTGGCCCACATCCGGCGCACATACCACATGGACTGTTGGCACTTGGGCAGACCGCTCCTGTCTGCCAGATCTGGGCCACAAGTAAGCTATAGCAATACCGCATTTCAACCTAAGGTACCAAAGGTTGGAAGATAATATTTTGTGTTATTTGGGCCATATTTACCATTTACTACAGGGGCCAATTTAGGTTCAAATCCCCACATCTGCTATTTTACAAGTGGGACTCTTTAGTCTCACATCCATTTTGTCCAGGTCACAAGGAGGCCGGAAGTGTCTCATCATCGCCTGAAGTGGTCCACATCCGTATGCTATCTCTCTGCTGCCATCCTGTAACATAATTCATTCTGTCTTTCAAAGCCAACGACCACAGGAACGACTAAAAAATCCAAGAGTGCAAAGCAAGGCGGCGATGACATCACTTTGCCTCTCATGGACAAAAACCAAGGTCAGCAAATCAGTGCATGAATTCCCTCAGTGAAATTATTTTAAAGCATCATCTGAATGAGAAAAGTGTCCTTCTAGCTCAGGGAACAAAAAGCAGGTTTTAAACATATTGTGGGTCTTGTCATGTCACGGACAAAGAAAATGTTCAGTCCCTGACTATATTCTTCTGGAAAATAGCCCTGAACCAATGATGTGCTGCTGAGGTTATCAGTGCACAGACTTGGCTTATTAGCCTGAGCAGCTTCTCCCAGAGGCAGAGCAGGCTCACGCATCAGCAGTCACATTTCATTTGAACATTATTCCAAAAGGGCACTTTCCCACATCGAGAGCGACCTCTAGCTTCCCAATAAAACAGAATTTTATACGCTACTTTCAATGACTTATTTCATTGTATTTGCCTGTTTCTCTTTCTGGTCTCTCAGTCTGAAATGAATAGATAAGACCTTGTGTTTCTTTAAAGGGCAATAGGCCCATAGCTGGTTGGATCTGCAGTATTAACATTTTAAAACATGTGGGTCTATATCAAACCTTATTAAGTTCTCAAAAGTCTAACTCAGTTTTCAAAGTCTGACATTTATTTGATGTTAGAATTTTCATAAAAAGATGCAGAAATTTAATTTCAATGAGAGAGAGAGAGGGATTGATATTTCAAGTATGCTACTTGAGACAGGAGCGGTAGCAGCGTAATCTGCGTGAAAGCTAATTGACTTGACTGCTCCCGAAAAGAGAAGCCAAATCATCTTGATCGCCCCCTGGTGGCTGGCTGCAGTATAAGTCCCACCACCCAGTGAAATGACCCAATTAGCCTTAAAAGCGCATTGTAGACAGACACAGATAGACATTTGTTGACTGAAAACTTTTTTTAAATTTAGTGTAACATTTTAATAACTATGGTTTATGTAACATTAATTAAAAAGAGGCATAACCAATGGAGCATCGGGCCACTTTCTTGACTTCAAATCATTTCAATAAGTATAATCATGTAGCTGCATTAACATACAATATACTGCTTGGTGATTCATCAGATTTATTTAATCAATGCATTAATACAGGGAACTTGAAATTTCGACACTTAACTTTGGCTAAGTTACAGATGTAGGCTAATTTGTTAGTTGGTTAATTTCTTGCCTGAACTTACATTTAACTGACCTTTATTGAACAGATATGCTATAATAATATATAATATTGAACCTGTCTGTGGTAAAGGGCTCTTTTATTTAGGGGAAAGAACCCTGAGGTTCCTTATTGTGTAATTTTAAAGTGACTGAACTCAGACTCTCCTATGGTTCCCCATTACAAGTGACTGTTCTCTTCATCTACATTTTTCTAATCCTTGCCATATTTTCTATTGTATTATTTGAAAGTATTTCTTTTCTTGCAGATGTATATTCCAGTTTAGAGCCAAACGACAGAGTTGGAGATGGGAAAGGAGCTGTTGTGGAAAGAGATGCTCTACAGGTGATCTGCGATTTGAATGCACTGAATGAAAACCTCAGAGACATCTCATTCACTAATTGCTGACTTCATAACCTTTGCCTAGTATGGAAGAAATGCAGATATCAACTATGCTTTGAGGGATTTTATTTTTAACAAGGATTCTTGTGACGTGTGTTTGTAACTGTCAGGGTTTGTAATGCCAATAGACTAACGCTGTCCATTTGCATATTTCATGACCTATAGGCCACAAGTGAAAGAAAACACTTCATCAGAGCTGGCAGACCTGCGGTGGGCCTCATGGATAACAAGCCTCCACCGCTGGACTCCTGGGTGTAAACATGACAACACGGCCGCTCGCGCCGGTTAAATCCTGCAGAGACAGTTTCCAGTGGTGAGATATGGATTTGTGCCATTTGATTATTCTTGTGAAGACTGAGGAATACATCCAGTTAGAAATCATTTTCTTTGTTCATAGAAGATAATGTGCCAAACATTTACATGTATTTATTATGGAGATTATTTGGCAATAGGTTGGATGGATGATATGTTTGAAAATCAAGATGGATTACTTATGATATGTGAAATAGACTAAATATGCAAACTGGTGAATGGAGACTCCAAAGAATATGACATGTACAGTTTCAGTTTTACTGACGAGTATGAGATTTCTAATATTTCGAGTTTGTTGAGCCATGAAGGCCCGAAGTGACACATGGATCTGTTGTTGAAGAAGATTGTGATATAAAACGATTTTTAAAATACTTTTGGTCGGTGTTTGAGATCATTAGGATTAGGGCTCTCGTCAGCATAGTCATCAAAAACATGCAGATGATTTGGAATTCATTTTATTGTTAACAGATAAATCATCGGACTAGACTGTGCAGTCATTCGCTAACTGTCTCTATTCCATTTGATTCACGATCGGCAGAATGAGATTGTAAATGTGTAACAAAGGACTGTTAATACTCCAAATGAAGGCATTTATATTGTAATATTTATTGTAATACCCATGTTATTAATTAAAGGTCATGTGTATTATCTTATAGTAAGTAATCCTACATTCAATACAACTCTGCTTTGCAGTGGTCCTTTTTGCATTGCGATGTTGACTGAAAAATGAAAATAAATGACGTGCATAATTTTAATTTTTGGTTATATTCTATTTTTATTAATTATACACTGAGTTATATGTTTTTTTCCCATTTTCTATGGGTGACTTTTCCTTAAAAATCACTTACTGACCAGTAAAAAAAAACATTAATGTTGCTCTGGTTAGACTGAAGTGAATAGATAAAAACCTTAGCTGGGTTTTTCTTATAGGCAGTGACTTGTGGATGTTCCTCTTTGAAATGTCCCCCCCCACACTGGGTGAAAAATCATAAATATTATCTGTATAAGCAGTTCAAACACAGCTACAAAGGTGAGTTTAGGCTGGATGTCAATTGTCAAACGTAAAAGAGGTTTTCAAGTTTTCAAAAAACAGCGGAGCTCCAAAGAGGCCAAATGTGTTTCAATTATTCAAGGAAAACAGTCTGAAAAACTCACACATGCAGACACAAAATAAAGCTAATAAATGGGAATATTTATACAGGTTTAACAAAAGTTGTTATGTAGCTTGTAACCAACTATAATAAGACCTAACTCTGCAGCAGTTATTGCAATAGTGGAAGTAAAATATTATAACAGGAATTTTTCCAATGACTTTGTTTACCATGCATATGCCCGTTCTTTAAAAAATAAGTAATATTGCAATAAACTGACGTAAAAAGTGGATTCAATCCTAGTTTTGTTTTACTAACTGAATATTTCTTAACCGCTGCAAAATTATATAATCCAGCCACATAATGCATAGTGATCTAGCAGTGACTCAGCAAGGGATTATCATGCATTAACTTCCATAAATAGCAACACACACAACACATGAACAACAACCAATGAAGTTTTTGTTTGTATTTACATTTTCTCCTCAAAAGTGACTCTGTGTAAATAGGTTTATAAGCAGTATAAATATTATTTAACTAATTTTTAACTAACGGTAAGTAACTGTTTGTGAGCTTATATTCAGTTGATGGCAATGATCACATGTGAGTTGTCAGAAAACAATTATTAGAAAATAAAAACAGTAATTAGATGAAAGTACAAGTATAAATCAGCATCTTCACCACCCAGTGAAAATGTTTAGTGCTGTCTTTTTTAGAAAGCAGAGTTACAGATGTTAGGTGTACACTGGCCTCTTGTGGAGATTGCAATGTATAAATTAAACAATAATATTAATTGATGACATAACAAAGTTTTGAATCTTTATACATTTAAAAGATACTGAAAATGTGATTATTTCCATATCTCTACATTTTCTGGACTTTATTCGGCAGAACATGATCATTATTTTAATTGTAGCATGGTGCAACACATACATAGGGATGTTAGGTTAAAGTAATTTCAAATGCAGGTCATTGGTTTGTCAAGAGAAAGTTGCGGATCAAAATGAGTTTGAATATCAGTTGAATTTAAAGTGAGTGGGGTGGAGTGGGGTGGGGGGAGTACACGGCCATGGTGACATCTCCACACATGTCAGCACAGCACATTGGACAGCACAGCCCTGCCCTCACAACCAGACCACAAGATCAACGAGGGCAGAGCTGTTTTCTCTTTGCCCCCAACACCAACCTGTTGTCCTTTTAAACCAAGGTCAGCCCTCCCTCAAAAACCTAGAAGTGTCCTCTCCCAAAGGATCCATCACATCTTCTCATCTACTTCTCAGTCTCTGGATCTAAAACCATTCCTCCATTCTCAACCATGGTCGCTCCAGTCTTCTCCAGCCTCGGCTTTATCAGCTCCCTGAATGTCCTACTTCTGGCTTTGACTGGCCTGAACTGGAGCAGTCCCATCAGGCCCCACGAGACCCAACGCAGGGCGTCAGTCGACAAGGATATGGGTGATAATCTGCTTCTTGACGTGCAGGACTTTATGAGGCAGTTTCTGTCCACGCTGAACCTCACAGAGCTGAGGCCCCAGTCCAGGCCGCTCGCTGCCCATAAGGAGCAAACTGAGTACATGTTGGAGCTGTACAACCGCTTTGCCAACGACCGCACTTCTGTGCCCTCGGCCAACATTGTGCGCAGTTTCAAGAATGAAGGTACACACTTGTTTTGTTTAACACCACAAGAATCTTGAAAAAATTGCTTCACTTTTTGTCTCTTAAGAAAACATAAAAATATAGGATGTTAAAAAACCCGAACTGCTTAACATAAAGGTTAAACAAAAAAGGTCTTTGATTTATGGAAACCAAAGTGATTATGTGATTCATTTGAAATAAAACATTTTTAATAATATGATTTAAACCAACTTAATGCATTTGTTATGATGAAGCTGTGTTTTTGATGCAAGGATACGTTTTAATATTTAACAGTATAACGTGAGTTTTGATCATGTAAATGCATGCAAAACGCATTGAGACACACTTATTGATATTTTAATTTCAGATTCCTCCCCCTACAGTTTAACGGCCAGGGGTGTGCGGATATATCCCCTGATGTTCAACATCTCCATGCCCCATCATGAGCACATAACCATAGCCGAGCTTCACCTTTTCACCCTGGTCCGGCGGGCCCAAAGACAACATTCTGGCCTTGACTGCAAGGTGACCGTTTACAAAATACATGAGGGCGTTGTTTGGACAAAAGAGGTGGGGAAAGAAGGCAGAAGGAGGGATAAAGAAGAGGTGGTGGAGATGAAGGATTTGGAGGAACTGGTGACAAAGCGTGTTCATGCCAGAGATAACAGCTGGGTGTCGTTTGACCTGACTCATGTGGTTACGCTCTGGCGGAAGTCGGGGTGTGCGGTTAACAGACTGGAGGTTCACATCACGACTGTTGAGGAGGAAGGGGCCACACGGGACGTCACAGAGGAGGGTGAAGCCTTGGTTGAGATTGATATCGACAGGAGCTCAGTGGGAAAACACAATGCAGTGATGATTGTGTTCTCAGATGATCAGAGCAGGGACCACAAACAGGATAAACAAGAGCTCACCCAGATGATTGGACACGAGAATGACCTCGTTGAAAACGCAGGCCACAGCCAACAAGCTTTCTGGGGGCACGCCAATCACAACGCTGGCCATGCAAACCAGGACGACCTGGATAAACAGTCTGACCTGCAGCTGCAGTCCAACCTTATCTACGACACACCTCCCCGAATCCGTCGCAATGTTAAGAGCGAGTCGTGCAAGAGGACCCCGCTCTTTGTGGATTTTAAAGACATTGGCTGGGACACGTGGATCATCCAGCCTCTGGGCTACGAGGCCTACGAGTGCAAGGGTGTGTGCAACCCACCCATGACCTCCGAGGTCTCGCCCACCAAACACGCCATAGTGCAGACTCTGCTGAGTGTTAAGAGTCCAGAGAGAGCATCGCGTGCTTGCTGTGTTCCCACTAAACTGGAGCCCATATCACTCCTTTATCACGATAACGGCGTGATCACGTTCAATCACAAGTACGAGGGGATGGTGGTGGCGGAGTGTGGATGCAGATAGTCCTGAAACACAGAGAGATAGAGACTGCACATTGCACACATCTTCTCATGTTTCCACAATATCTACTCGAGTCTCATACAGTGGCGTGTGAAAAAAAACTACACAATTCTGGACATAGTTGTAAATTAGTAATGGACACAAATTTGTACTAAATGTTGTAAATTTGCAATTGTATAAAGGAAAACCAGTTATTATATTAATGTAGAATATAAAGCTGTCAAAGCAACGCTGCAAATGTAATTCAGTCTGTCCTGATTTTTGACAATTAATTGGGGGGTTTGGTATATGAGAGTGTTTTTGCGTAACTCCACAATTCATTTTTAAAAACGAAAATGAAATAAATTCACATCGTTGCATCATCACTGCAAAATATTCTACAAATCTGAGGTCGACCATTTAGGCATTTTTTATTGATGAAAATTATATTGTGATAATTATTGATAGTGTTTATGCCCATGCTACATAAAAGAAAAAAAACATAATGTCCAACATCATGGGGAAAATATTTGTTTTACCTTTTTGGAATCAATCAGGATTTGTCTAATTCACTAAGTTAAATATTGCAGTTATACCATCTGATGCAAAAACAAAATGTATGTGTCAATAAATCAATATGCATGTGATCAAAACCCTGTGTGCAGTGTTTCAACGTGCACAATCTGAATTTTGTATTATTTGCAGAAGCAGAATAGCCAATACTAAATAGATCAAATTCATACTGCATCAATATGTGAATTGCCATCACGTATTCTTCTCATTTCAGCTACATTTAGTTGTGGCAGATGCACAAGTTGAGCGGCTCCAGCTTATCCAATCTGAACTACTCTGTCGTGACAAATACGTTATACCCACTATATTACAATGACTTGCACTACTGTTAGTACTCTATATGTTTTTAAACATAAAAACTATCTTAAATTCAGTTGTAATTAAATCACAGTGATGCCAAAATGCTTTATAACTAGGAATATATATATATTGTTTCTTTGCCCTATGGCATGTTGGAGCCATGGAGATGATTTTAAAGCTGTGAAATTTCTCCTTTCATTTGCTCTCCAGAAAATCTATTGTTGCTGGCTTTTGATCACTGGAGGATTTTCACGGTATCTCTGAGCTCTTCATGACTTCATGTCTGAAAAATGTACAGTTTGTGTTACCTAACGTCGCTGTCAGCTGCTGTGAAATCTTTCTTGACACTATTCATTCATATCCTGCTTTTTGGTTCTCACGCAGACATTAATGTTATTATAGTTGTCAAAAAAATAAAATATCTGAAAGCAATTTGATTGTGCAACTTGTGTCATTGCCAGGTGATCGCAACATTCCCCACCTAACAACCTTAATCCCCATCCCTCTCACGTCACATGCCTAAAGGGCCTCTCTCTACCCGCTTCCATGCCACGGTGATAAGGAGGTGTTAGAGCCTGGAATCTCGTAGACCGTCACTCAGGATGAGACGCCACTCCAAGTGGGAGCATTTGTGAGAAGGTGGTGTCAGATTCCTGGTCTCCAACGCAGACATGCTCCATTGACAATCCTGCCGTCAGGTTGCTCTGTGCCCTCTGAACCCTTCTCACTTCCTCTTTCTGACACGAGCATGCTGACACCCTTATCGAGGCCACGGCAACAGTACAAATGGAAAAAAAACATGTCACATCATCACCCAGCTTCTGCTGTTAACAGTTGGAAGCCGATAACAATAATGGCATAACACTGTGGAACTTTTTAAATTAATAGGATCCTCACTCTGTGTTCAGATTTGTAAAGGCCAAGTGTGCAGGGCAGAGATATTGACAAACTGGTCTTCCAGCATAAAACTGAAATACAACTTTAACTATTATCCTTTTGCTGCTTTGGCTTAAAGATATATGGCTTTTGTTAATACAGTGACTTTAAGGATTTAATCAATATTCTTATTCACCAGGACATCCAGGTCCAAATTAGCCATTAAGAACAAGCCACTTAATTTTGCTTGTTAGTTTGATTTGTGCTCCTGAGTACATTCTTGTTTATTTTAAAATACTAAATTGGACAGTTTGTTTTATGAACTACATGAACACATTATGCACTGGCCTAAACTCAAAGTTCACATGAGGACATTTGCTGGTAATTGTGTGCAAATGAAAGCATTCTCAATATTTAAATGTACAAATGGCACAGTCAGGGTAATACGTGATCAGATACCATAGAATGATTGATATTATATTGTATGATTTGTGACATAATCAATGAAATGAACGACAAGTCAAAGGTCAATAATTTAGGGAAAAGATAAGGAGGAAATTCACAGGACATTCATCTCCTTTAACTGACCTTTGCACAGTCTGGAAAAGTGAACATCCACTGAGTCAATAATACATTCGGGCAGGTTCATATCATCACATCTATCTCAAGCAACAAAGTCAGTGTTAGTCAGGGTTCACTGGATGCCAACTTCAAACCATAAACTCATGGCTCAACTCAGGGGCAGATATGAGAGATTGGAAGGTTTGGGTGTGGAGCTCTTGTCATTATTTATAATGTCACACTATATTACAGCATATCCACAAGGGGGAGACTGTTTATCACAGTAAAATCATCTATGCTACAAAAGGAGACAGTATTTTTATCACTTTATTTCTATGGTGACAAGAAAAGACTTTCTCCCAGATGCAGGACAAACTGATGTTTACTTTGACAGTGAGTTATTATAAACCTACTGTATGTGCATCAGGCTTATCAGAAGGAGTTTCAGTAGCAATGGTCCACAGACGGTGGTTTGTGGTACTCACTGTAAAATTCACTCTGTATACAGGGTGACACATGTATATTTAATAGCTGTTAATTTATGGCAGTCCCATAATAGG